CGTATTATTTGTTATGTTTCACAGATTATTGAATTTATGACATCAAGAACTTAATTAAGCACCCCCTGTGTTTTTGCAATGATAGGTTTCCAACATCTACATAAAACTTGTCGTGGTGACCACGATGAAAAACATTAGTTTTTCTGACCCGAATGATCCTTTGACTCATAAGTAACGATCGAGGAGTGCTAATTTTGAAAACTCATCAAAACAATGTATAAATAATGATTATACGTTTTGTATTATTAATACAGAATTATTTGTTTTGGTTACAATAACTGTTCAGAAACGCTACGGCGGGAACCTTTTAAAAGTCGAGCCCCGTTTACACGAACGTTTTGGTTACGTATGAAAGTCGTCCGGATAGCGAGTTGTCCGGCGATTGGAATTTGTAGACTCTGTTTTAACATAAGCGTTTAAGTTGCCAGAGAAGTTGGCTTAAACCTAAATGAATGTAAACTTTAAGATATATTTTCCTGATATATATCTCTACATCTGTCTGCACGTCTGTCAGGGTATGTTGTGTCTGGTATTGTGGTAACTGGATTTTTATTAAAAAGGGGGATTTTTGGGGTGGGTGGGGTCCACTGGACTTTTCAGAGTGAGTGAGTGAGTTTAGTTTTACTCCGCTTAGTCCAGCAATATCACGGCGGGGGACACCACAAATGGGCTTCACACATTGTACCCATGTTGGGAATCGAAACCGGGTTTTCGGCGTGACGAGAGAACGCATTAACCACTAGGCTACCCCACCGCCCCTGGACTTTTCAGAAGGTGCTGTCCGTTAACACCGCTCGGCAGTGACTGTCGGTGATGTGCACGACCTCTTGAACGTCACAGACCGCCTCCATGGTGTAGTGGTTAGAGCGTCCGCCCGGAGAGCGGAAGGTCGCGGATCGATCCCCGACTGCGTCATACCAAAAGACGTTAAAATATTGTACTTGTTGGTCCCTGCCTGGCGCTCGGCATTAATGGGTACAACAAGGACTGGTCGGCTCGGAGTCAGTATAATGTGTCTGAGTGGGGTATCCATGCTTCACTGCGGCATGGTATCTCAGTGGGCTAGCACTATAAAACCAGCTTAAGTCTGGGCTAGTACAAGCAGCCGCAGCTACACATACACACGTATGCACGTCGTCATATGAGCGAAATATTCTCAAGCACGACGTTAAACCCAATTTCACCTCACCTCACCTTGAACGTCACAACAGCTGAGCCTAAATAAGTGAGTGAGTTTAATTTTACGCCGCACTCAGCAATATTCCAGCTACATGGCGACGGTCTGTAAATAATCGAGTCAGGACCAGACAATCCAGTGATCGACAGCACGAGCATTGATGAACCTAAATAAACGTTGATACCTATACAGACATCTGTATTAATACTTACTAACCCGGGAAGATCCGGGTAGAATTGATCTTCAGTAACCCATGCTTGTCGTAAGAGGCGACTAACGGGATCGGGTGGTCAGGCTCGCTGACTTGGTTGACACATGTCATCGGTTCCCAACTGCGCAGATCGATGCTCATGCTGTTGATCACTGGATTGTCTGGATTGACTCGATTATTTAGCTGGAATATTGCTGAGTGCGGCGTAAAACTAAACTCACCCATTCACTCACTCACTAATACTTACTAGGGAGATTTAATATATTCGAATGGATAATATTTGCCCATCAAATACTGTTTTTTTTTACCTTTTATTCTAAGTTCTCAAATAACATGATATTTGCCCAGAAACAACCAGTATACCAGGTCACTGGTCCCTCTGTTGAACAACCAGAAGTGCTGGAACCGTCCACGTACTGGGTGTTGCTTGTAGGTCATTACTAAATCGCTTCGTGGCCAGATGTTTTTTTGTTTCCCATTTCATGATTTGTCGATATGGACTGAACTCAACACTCGCAATCAGAGTTGAAAATATTAAATGTAGCTTAGCTTACGTTAAGTTCAATAAACTCTCAACAATCAATATATACTTTTGTCGTGCCACGACTACATGAGCGTATCATGTTCCGGTGTCAGGATACATGAACAGGCCAATATTGACACTCGTTCTACATATCAATGTTACAGTTAAAATGTGAGGAGAGAATAGCTTTTTCAACATTATTATCAAATGGCAATGCCGGAAACATTATCTAACGACGACGAAGATGACGAGAGTAGTGATGATGATGTTGAAATTGAAGATGATTTTACAGATTAAGTTAAAATTAGGGGTGAAACGGTATATCGCGGTATTAGCAGAACAGCGCTATTTAGCCTTCGGTTCGGTATACCGTAATGCAATCCACAAATTCGGTATTTTCGGTTTACGTACCGTCATTACAAAGCATAAAATGACAGTTTTGTTCATTAAAAATTTTAAAGATGTTATCAAACAGTGTAAGGTTTGGCTCTTGTCAATTTTCTGCATTATGACCATATCTCATATACCGAACCGAAACGGACTGAACCGAAGGCCTTCTACGTACCGTACCGTGGTAAGAGCGTACCCTTTCACCCCTAATTAAAGTGGAGAGTTAAGATGGGAGATACTGGCACAGCCAAGCCGGTTAGATTCATCATCAGCTCAGGGCCTTGTCCCCCTCTACACGCAGCCCAGACAGCGAATGGGACTTCTCGTCGAGGTGAGGTGAGGTGAAATTGGGTTTAACGTCGTGCTTGAGAATATTTCGCTCATATGACGACGTGCATGCGTGTGTATGTGTAGGTGTGGCTGCTTGTACTAGTCCAGACTTAAGCTGGTTTTATAGTGCTAGCCCACTGAGATACCATGCCGCAGTGAAGAATGAATACCCCACTCAGACACATTATACTGACTCCGAGCCGACCAGTCCTTGTTGTACCCATTAATGCCGAGCGCTAGGCATGGACCAACAAGTACCATATTTTAACGTCTTTTGGTATGACGCGGTCGGGGATCGAACCCGCGACCTTCCGCTCTCCGGGCGGACGCTCTAACCACTACACCACGGAGCCGGTCGACTTCTCGTCGAACCCACCAAGAACTTCCATAGAATATGGAGAGTCTATATTAACGCCTCATCGAACATTGTTTCACTCCGATGTAAGCCAGCTTGATGTGAGATGACAGCTGACCCTGGTTGCACCCTCCCCGCCCCCTCTTGAAAAACACATGCGGACGCTGAGATCAATAACCCAATAACCACGATCAGGGCGATTTTTAGATTCAAACCCGATTCAGCTGATCACATTACACGCAAGGGACGGAACTCTGTATACCGAATAACGGCACCGGATTTAGTTTTCCGCCGCCTCAAGTAATTTTCCAGCAATATCACAGCGAGGAACCTCAGATATGGGTTTGTACCCATGTTGGGAATCGAACACGCGCCTTACGCTACCCCACCGCCCGAAAATCAGCATACCGAATAACGGTACCGGATACCGTTAAACAACGGCAGACTGAGTGTATGCCAGATGGTAACCAACAAGAAGTGTCTTCGTTTTTACCAAATCGAACACCCTCATTATCAACATCCCTTATTTTCATCAGTAATAGTAACAAAGCACTTGTTTTTACTTCATTACAAGCGTTTATGATTATGTCTATTGGAAAACACTGTGAATCGATGACAAAAATATGTTGCATCGAGCGTGCTTTATACACAAATTAACATATATATTATTCCCCGTAAGCAACACATTACCGAAAGGACATTACCAGCTTTTGTTCTGGACATAAAACAGCGATGTCATTAACGCATCACTTAAAACACAATATCTATCTAAATTACTCATTTATCTGATCACGAATATACGTGTATCCAGAAAAATACATTATAGATAAAAGGACATTTTAATATTAAATAATTGTCCATATTGTCGTAACAGCGGGGGTGATTTTGATTGACATTATTGGGAAATGATAAATAATTTAAAGAGGAAAGGGTTTTTCTTGAAAGTGTGATTTCGCTATTTAAATGGTAATGTTTATTCGCTTTTCAGATAAACCACGACGGTAACAGTTTGACTAGTACATTAAGTAAGCTAAAATGGACATGGCCCAGCTATACACAGTGAGTGAGTGAGTGAGTGAGTGAACGAATGCGTGAGTGAGTGTGTGAGTCCGCCGTTTTCAACTGTAACTCCGTTTGTCCCTTTACTGTGGGACGAAATCTGGGAGTGATGATTGTCGGACGTTTACCACTTGGGCGAAACTTACGATCAAAGGCATGATGCTAAGAAACCTAGAACCATAACGTTACGGGATTCGAACCCATGATCTGACACGATTTAGGTATACAATTCGTCACAGCGAATAGCAGCGCCGTCTCAGAAGACGAAGTGAGTGGGTGAATGGGTTTACACCGCTTTTAGCTATATTCCAGCAATATAACGGCGGGGGACACTAGAAATGGGCTTCAAATATTGTACCCCTGTGTTGGAATCGAACCCAGGTCTTCAGCGTGACGAGCGAACCCTTTAACCACTAGGCTATCCCACCGCCCCAGGAAACCAAGACAGCGACAGTTCCTTTTAGCCGGGACGGTGGGGTAGCCTAGTGGTTAAAGCGTTCGCTCGTAACGCTGAAGACCTGGGTTCGATTACCCACATAGACGCAATGTGTGAAGCCCATTTCTGGTGTCCCCCGCTGTGATATTGCTGGAATATTGCTAAATGCGGTGTAAAACCAGACACAATTACTTTACCGACAGTTCACGAATTAGGGTTTAAAAATACCCTGCGACTTACACGAGTTTAATCCAAATATCACAAATATTAAATAAAACATAATACAAAATTCAAATTCAATAAGCATCCGTTACAAATTATTCAGTTACGGCATGAAATGTTCCACAACTGCCTAAATGACTCGTAGCTGCAAAACACTCATTAGTAAACATAAAATGAACACTTGACTGCATGTGATGAAGTCCACGGCTTTCACCGAATCTAACAATCACCATCGTAGTGTAACGCTAATACGCATTTACATCATGGTGATTAAAGCTCATTGTTCAAAACACCTACCTTGCAGGAACGGGAACACTCGGTGTTGAAGACCAAAAAGACAGGTACTCAGATATTACAGCGAGTCCTTTTTATATACACGGACAACCAACGTCAGCAGCCCATTAACATAAGCCAGTCAAGCGGCGAGAAGCGTTTGTGGAAAAATTATATGAGTACCAGAGGAAAGTGTTATTAATTTTTTCTGTCATCTCTGCATACTTTTAATAACACTATTTTAAAGATGATTATATATATGGTTATTTTATGACGCATGGTCGTGTTGGGTCTTTGATGTGTTTAAGGATGGACGCTCCAACAACCTACATGGTTGCAAATTAGTTTACAGGCGATGCTATCGTCTCATACAGCTGGCAGAGTGCGCCTTTAAACAATCAATGAGCAGGTGACAATACCGCCGTCATATTTCTGGAGTATTGCGCAGTGCAACGTTAGACAACAAATTAAACACAGGCCATATTACTTCTGTCAAATACCTGTGAAATTGCAGAGTGGAGCATGAAACGAACGGTGTAAAACTTCACTCACTCAAGTCACAAAATAAGTTTGAGTAAATGTACTCCGTGCCTGACTGTGCCCTCGTGAGTGAGTGAGTGAGTTCAGTTTTAAGCCGCACTCAGCAATTCCCTGTGAGATATTTACATGCAACAGAAAGGCTGTACTTGAAGGTCTCACAAATTTGGTTAAACAAAACTCCTAATTCGGTAAAAAATGTTTTCTCGCTCAGGATCTACACGTTTGTTCGTAGATGAGTGAGTGAGTGAGTGAGTGAGTGAGTGGGGTGTTGCATGTTTTGAGTTGTCACATTCGGTTGGGGTTGATATGCACCAATATAGTGCCGAAGCCAGCGACCATACCCAACTGCACGAGAGAAAGATTAAATACAGTTTTACGCCGCTTTTAACAATATTCCAGCAATTTATTTTGTAAATAATTCAAACATATATACACAATTTAAAAAACAAAAATCGATTCAAATAAAAGGCAAAAACTGAAGTACATTAATGTGTTTAAAACATTTTCTGTTTATTTTCCCCAAAGCAATAGATACGTGCAACCGTGTCGAAACTTTAACAGATTAGTTAATATATAGTTGTGCTTTGAGGCAATATATTCGTCACCCATCGATGAAAACAACAAAACTATTTGCTTTAAACTCAACCTTTCAACATCAAGTGTCGGTTCAAATAAAAAACAATGTTGACATGCTGCTTAAAGAGTGACCTCCACTTTGTTTCGGTGACATGGTGGATAGAAAAGTGTGCCCGGAAAACATAAACGAGATTTCATCTCTACGGTTTGCTTGCTACATTCCAGCTGTTCTTTCACGGCCGGTTTTCTCACTAATGGCTTTATTCCGATATCATTGTTATCATAAGTGATATCAACCTGCGTCTGTTACCGTATGTTTACCAACTTACGGGATATAGGGTTTGTAATAGCAATATGGCTGCCGATATCATTAGATCCAGATGTTACCTCAGTGAAATGGAGTATAGACACTGTTTAACTTTTAATAGGTGTTTTAGTCAAACACGTGATACACATTAAAAGGGAGGCAGTTTAAAAACATTTGTCAAATGCAAGCAAGGCTGTAAAATGTAAAATAATGTTGGTTTTCAGTTTGGTAAGTTACTATCATAATAATAAGCATAATAATCATCTTCGTGTCATAAAGTGTATTCAAAGATATTTTTTGTCTCGGCGTTTGTGTATACTCCACATTAAGAAGTCAAAGACGCGGGGTCAAGATTATTGCATTTTTTCTTGACGAAGAACATTTTTGATGTCCCCCGCCGTCATATTGCTAAATGCAGTGTAAAACCATACTCATTCACTCACTCACTCTAAATCATATCAAAAGTTACCTAGACAGTTTATTTAGCATTCAAGAAAAATGATTTCATATATCTTCTCTGCTATAAAATGCAGAAATTTTAGCTACGTTTTAATCTGTGGACGACATAAATAAATTATATTGATAAGCTCTCTTCAAATAAGTCCCAGGACTAATGAGTGACCTGTAATTTCTGAGGACCTGACCCGCCAGTTCTGGTATTCCATGTCCGTAGCAGTGCCGGAACTTTGCCAAAAGCGGCCATCTCAATACCGGAATAAATGATAGCAGGTTTACACTGAGTAATAAAACGAACTTGCTTTTTGTTCACTGTAGTAAAACAAACTACCTGAGTAATCGATACGTCCTTTGTTATGCTACACGGGCAACTGTCAAGGACATGGAGCACAGGCTGTCGGAGATCACACGGTTTGTTTTGATGAAGAATGTTCGTGCAAAAGTCTCATATCTGAGTACTATTATTCTTCGCACAACCCTTTGATTGCAGTGAACACAAAGGATCTCAGTTGCATTATAATGTAATGTGAGGTGGACCAGTGGTCTGTGAGAGTTATCCCTCCTAGCTGTGCCAGGAGCTGAGGAAATGTTGCCAACACAGACTCGCTTTGAAAAAAAAGGTTTTCATTCATCAAACGTCAAACTGGACAGGTGGTTGCATTATTGAAGTACTAACATTTGATGTAGTGAGGTGGGGTGGGGTGAGGTGAGGTGGGGTGGGGTGGGATGAGGTGGCGTGGCGCGGCGTGGCGTGGGCTCGGGTGAGGTGAAGTGAGGTGGCGTTGTTGAGGTGAGGTGAGGTGGCGTTGGGTGAGGTGAGGTGAGGTGGCGTTGGTTAGGTTAGGTGAGGTGAGGTGAGGTGAGGTGGCGTTGGGTGAGGTGAGGTGGGATGGGACAGGGTGGATTGGACATCATAAGGGGGTTTGATTAATTATGGTTCATGCATATATTCTTATTGCGGGAGGCCATCATGCAATTGTTTTTATTGACGAGTACTGTTAGAACTACCAGTTCGCGAACACCTGGTGTCATCATTGAGTCTTTCATAGAAGTTTCGTCTCCATTTCCCTGCAACACCCAACGGCACATTTTTCGGTGGATAATACAGACTGGTTATTCTTTTTCAGTGACGTTTTATATGAGCGAGACCCGTGAAGATCCGGGTTAGAATTGGTCTTCAGCAACCCATGCTTGTCGTAAGAGGCGGCCAACGGGATCGGGTGGTCAGGCTCGCTGACTTGGTTGACTGGTTGACACATGTCATCGTATCTCAATTGTCTAGATTGATGTTCATGATGTTGATCACTGGATTGTCTGGTCCAGACTCGATTACTTACAGACCGCCCGATAGCTGGAATATTGCTGAGTGCGGCGTTAAACAACAAATAAACAACCACTCCAAGACCGAGAATCAGTTTATCTGACGAGTGGATACAGAGTAGTCGTTGTATTTGCAACTGAAATGTCAATGTATGTTCAGAAATCACTTAATTATATTTTTTGGCTAAACTAGTCATCCATCAATAATAAAGTATACGACGGTTCCAATAGTTGCCTCTTACGACAAGCATGGGTTGCTCTTGCCTGGATCTTCATGGGTCCTTCTGGTTGAGGGAAAACTGAGTGTTCAATTGTCGCTTGAACGCCGCAGTCAGCAACATTCCAAGTATGTGACAGTCAGATTGCGAAATAGCCACTGGCCCGCTAGCCCGTGTCTAGTAAAAGTCCAGTCGGGCCAGTAAATCTCCACAGTCACTGGCTAGTGCACTTCCATTTTGTAAATATCATCTCTCCGGCTTATTTGAGTTATAAACAAAATATTTCAGTAATTCAGACATGTGTTTTCTTTTTTGTTCATGATGGTATTTTACCTTTTTGTAAGCCTTTGCTTGGTTTCTACATTCAAATTTCGGGCTAGTGATTATTTTGTGGGCTAGTAGCTTTCAGGCATAGCTAGCCCGACTGACTAGCACAATTTGGAAACTATTTTGCATACTGGTGACACTGACTGTTTGAGTCTTGACCACAATACAAACTCCTCCTGACTCTTTCTTAATGGATTGCGACAAATGCAAGACCAGCATTACAATGAATTTTCAGTCAAACTTTTGGAAAGTGATTTTTGTTTGAGAAATAATTATAATAAATCTCACATACGTCTTTGTCTCTATTATTTTACCAAGTGAAGCCGGTGATAACTTTCTTTTCCCGGTAGTTTATGTGGGCTATTCGTGCATATCAACATTAAAAAACCCATTCCAAATATACATTGGGTCTGTACTATCAAACCATGAAGTAGATTACGATCAAGAAGTCGGAAGTAACGGAAACAAATGCATGTCGTCAATTTCTACTACAGTCCGTGAATCAGCAATAATTACATGTCTCTGACGTCACTAATGCACGTGCAACTCGCTTTTCGCGCTGTTCCTTTAGTTGCCACTGCACCCTTGTAACAAACTGGGAAAACGCACAAATAAATGATGACAGTTTCTTAAACAACTTTTTTATTTTTGTGACACAAATTATGCATTTTTTTCTAGAGTTGGTCTGTTGTTTTTATTGCAGTCCGCGTTTGTTCGATTCTTTTATGTCTATTTGTTTTTGTGTTAGATTGCAATTCATCGGTATCATTTTGTCTCAAACGGACTGTATAGATATTTTATTTTGCTGCAATGGCAACCACCTACTCAACCACATGATTTTATTGGCCAAACGCCATATATATGTAATGAACATAAAGGGTTTGAAACCCAGTTTTAATATCGATAAAGCAGTATTAAATTATGTGTATCAAACAGAAAAATATATTTGTTCGAAAAATATCAACATGGATTTGTTTAATAGAAAATGGGATGTAATATCACCAGCATTGTCACTGTTATGACTTCATCTTACGAGGATGCAGTACTTGCACTCCATTGTGATTCCACGATCTCGCATATAATTTACTATTCTCAGCACATAATGTAATTGAATATGTAAGTGTTCCTTTCTATGCATGCTGTCTCTCAATTTAATGCTCACAAAACTGACGTTTGTATCCAACTGAAGTGAATAAAACAAATGTAAAAAAAAAATGCATGTCGTCAATATCCGTTTGGATCTTTTTAAACACATCTTATTAGGGTTTGTAATTTGCCTGATGGTTTTGTATAAAATCGTAACATGTTAAAACTTGATGAAATGTTCTTTCCTCGACAGGCTTCAGAAAAGCTGTGGAAATATGTACATAGGAAGGAGATTTT